GCTCGCCGTTCACGCGGGTGAATGAATGAATGAATGAATGAATTAATTAATTAATAAATGAATAAACTGTTCAGCTCTAAGACGTAAATAATCACAGAAATTAACATCTAACAAACAAACCACACAAAAAACAATAACGAAACCACATCATCACCATCATCAGCCTCACCATCATCATCATCACATATAACAGTCGATATTATGGCGAACAAAGATATAATATTCTTGGGCTGTTTCGTGAAGAGCGATTTAAATTTCTTGGCCGGAAGACAGGAGGGTGGCCTTTCCTATGAAAACTGCCTGGAGAAGTGTGGAATGAAAGAATCACTGCTAATGGCCATTAGTGTGAATTAATTATGTTAATGAATGAGTGAGTGAATGAATGAGTGAGTGAATGAATGAGTGAATGAATGAGCAAATGTATGAATGAGTGAATGAATGGATGAATAAACGTTTGGAAAAATGTTCTACGGAAGAATTACTTTCATTGGATATTAGGTGGATCAAGAATTTTTTTTAATTAATTACTCTGAATGAATGAATGAATAAATGAATGAATGAATGAATGAACGAACGAATTAATTAACGAATTGATAAACGAATGAATGAATGAATTGATAAACAAACAAATGAATAAATGAATGAATAATGAATGAATGAGTAACTGCAATTGCAACTTATTGAGCTTTTTGCGATAGAAATCAATAATTATAAACGCAAATAATTATTATAAATAAAAATAAATATATAAATATTATAAAATAATATAATTAGGATGGGAATATATGTTTTTGTGGACAAAATCTTCGACACTTCGCCCCAACTTCACTGACAGCCTGTTCGATTCCGTGTTCAGCCTCTTCTAAGGAGACGTGTGGTGGTCCGATGGCTTTTAGCATATATGAAAGTTAACAATGTTATTTTTTAGGGAATGTTGATGTTGTTGTTGTTGTTACTGTTGTTGTTGTTACTGTTGTTGTTGTTGCTGTTGTTGTTGTTACTGCTGTTGTTGTTGTTGCTGTCGTTGTTGTTGTTGTTGTTGCTGGTTTCAATTTACATTTCTTGTCTGACCATTTGTCTATCAATCTAGTATCTAACTATTTTTTAAAAATCATTAATTTAGTCATTTGATTTTAGTCTTTCATTCATTCATTCGTTCATCCATCCATCCATCCATCCATCCATCCATCCATCCATCCAACTTTTTTCCAAAAAAGTTCGTTTCAGATATCCATTCCTGGGCAACAGACCTCACTGCGTTTCGAACTTGACGGAGATGAGGATGTGTTCGACTGCACGCTGTGCAAGGGGTTGGACCGGACCATCATGTGAGGAAAGAAGTAGGTAAATGAATACATTTTTTTAAGTATTTTTTTGTATCTTTTTGTTTGTATCTTTTTGTATCTTTTGTTTGTATTTTTGTATCTTTCGTTTGTATCTTTTTATATTTTTTGTTTTTATTTATATTTTTGTTTATATCTTTTGTTTGTATCTTTTTGTTTCTTTTGTTTGTATTTTTGTATCTTTCGTCTGTATCTTTTTATATTTTTTGTTTATATTTATATTTTTGTTTATATCTTTTGTTTGTATCTCTTTGTTTCTTTTATTTGTATTTTTGTATCTTTTCTCTGTATTTTTTTGTATCTTTTGTACTATATTGGTTTCGCGGAGTGAAAACTAGATGAATACATGAATGTTTTATCCAGTTTGTATGAGGTTTGTATCTTTTTTGCATACGGTTCTGTATGTCGTTCATATGTTGTTTGTATCATATGTATATTATTTGCATGTGACTTGGATGATATGTTTGTATGCGACTAGTATGATATGTTTGTATGTCTTTTGTAGTATCCGCTGTTTTTATGCTTTCAACATCTGACTTATCTCTTCTACAATACGCATCAGCAGTATCACATACACACTCACACACGCACAGACACACAGATACACACACGCACACACACACACAGACACACACGCACACACACAGACTGCAGGGATAACAATGGAGGCTGTCCTAAAAATCTACTTTGTAGGAGGAATGAGATTTCGAAAAATTATTTCAGCGAATGCGTTTGTCCGCTCGGCCTGTATTACAACGGGTCTCGATGCTATGGTGACGAGTTATTTATTTTTTAAATTAATTGGTTAATTAATTAATTAATTAATCAATTAATTAATTATAGTTGATGCAATTATGGAAATATTAATTATAATTAATTACGCGCGTTTCTTTTGTTTGATTGCTTGGGATGATAATAGCGACACTGATGGAATGAATGAAAGAATGAATGAATGAATGAATGAATGAATGAATGAATGAATGAATGAATGAATGAATGAATGAATGAATGAATGAATGAATGAATGAATGAATGAATGAAAGGTTAGATATATAGAAGAATGACTAATTGAATAAGCAGATAAATAAATAAATAAAACACACCTTAAAACACACCACACACACATACAAACACACTCAAACACACATACACACACACAAACACACACATACAAACACACACATACAAACAAAAAGATATAGACGAATGTAAATACACGTCTGTATGCCAAGAGATGCATTGTGGTTGCGTGAACAAAGTCGGCTATTTCAAATGCGTTTGCACGTCTGTTAAGCATTACCTGAAGCACATGCTGACAGCCATCATCATATTCGAGACTGTCATCATCGTGCCTCAAATCATCTTGAATTTTTTTAGTTAGTTCTGTGTGTGTGTCTGTCTCTCTCTCTCTCTTTCTCTCTCTCTTTCTCTCTCTCTTTCTTTCTCTCTCTCTCTCTTTCTCTCTCTCTCTCTCTCTGTGTGTGTTTGATGAATTAATATGAAAATGATTGAAATGATTGAAATTAATACAAATTCATTTCCATTTGATTAATTTGATGATGACGATGAATTAATAAAATAAATGATTGAAATTAATACTAATTAATTTTCATTTGACGAAAGGGATCATCGAACTCCAGAGGCAAGTTATAGAGCAATCGAGTAAAATATCAGCCATATGAATCGCCCCATCAAATCGAGTCGGTTCCGAAACTACACTTTTTTATGTGTGTTCGAATACCGAAACTATACCGACACTTGTATTCGGTCGGTTATCGTGTGTGTATATAAATTATACCGGATTTTATTTTAAAGTCCATAGACTATAATTTAAAATGTGCGTTACAGTGTATGTATTTGAATATGTATTATGTGTCTTACCGTATCTATAGCCAGAGGTATTTGAGTATGTTGTATACGTATCTATAACTATACCATAATTTTTGTTTTGGTATGTGCTAACCGGTTCTAAATTGACGAATATATCGAGTATATTCCATACAATGTAATTATACCGAAGTTTTGTATTTTAGTATGTACAAGCCGTTACTATACCGACATAATGTGTATACTGTATCGAGTTTTTTCATATCTATAACCGTAATTATACCGAATCGCATTCGAGTTCGTATGAATCGTAACTGTATAACTGTAATTTATTATAACGAAACAAAACGAAATTATTACGATAACAACGATATTATTCAGTTATGAGTTATGTGTGTGTGTGAGTGTGTGTATCTGTGTGTGCGTTTGTTTGTTTGTTTGTGTGTGTGTGTGTAATAGTTTAAAGTATAGTAGCTGTAGTATTTAAGGAACTTTCCGTATCTTTATCATCCTCATCATCGTCGTCATCATCATCAGCATTATAATGTTGGTTGTGATGATGATAATTATCATCGTCGTCTTCGAGATCATCATCATCACTTTTGAAATAACGAACGACAACATTGTCTTGTAAAAATAGAACTTTTTTCTTTTTGGAATTTTGGGGTTTATCATTATCATCATCGTCGTCGTCTTCATCATCGTCTTTATCATCATTATCAACATCGTCTTCTTCCTCATCATTATCACAATCTTTCATTCCTTCTTCCTCTTCTTCATCCAGAAGCAGTTTTTCAATTATTTCATTCTCTCTATCTTCGTCGTCATCACCATCAGCACCTCCAAAAACATCATTACCATTGCCGCCACTTCCGAAAGTATCATCATCAAAACCGTCGTTTGGGGTTGGGGAATGTCGAAAGCTCATGAGCGTTGCCGGCTTAACCTAAGAGAGAGGAAAAATTTAAAATAAATACTACTACTACTACTATTGCTGCTACTACTACAACTACTATTACTACAACAACAACTACTAATAATTATAATAAATAATAATGATAATTATTATTATTACTAAGTTATTTTCTGGTGTCTTTATGAAGCAATTGAGTTTTTTATTGCAAGGTTTCCTAGTAAGTGAAAAAATATTCGGGCTGACTTTGTTGTAAATGTTGTCGATGTTGATGTTGACATTTTTGTTGTTGTTGATGTTTTTGTTGTCGTTGTTGTTAGTACCGCTGCTGTTACTACTGCTGCTGTTGTTGCTGCTTATGTGGCTGCTAATCTTCTTCACTCTGACGCCTTGGACGATGCTACAGCTGCTATTGGTGGCGTTGCTGTGGTTGTTGTCGACGATGACGTCATTTTTATTATTGTTCGTGTTGTTGTGGCTGGTGGTAATATTTTCTGCAGTGTTGGTGTTTTCTCTAAGGTCAAAGCTGTTGCTAACAATGCGTTGATTTTGATTATTAATATCGCCATTATCAATGTTGTTTATGTCATTATTATTGTTCTTATTATTCTTATTGTTCTTATTGTTCTTATTATTCTTATTGTTATTATTATTACTGTTTTGATCATCATCAACATCATCGTTAGCTTTCTCCTTAGCCAGCCTTCTCTTCTTCATCCTTGCGACTACCGCCATGTTGTTAGCTATTAATTTTCTCAGCTGTCTTTGATCGGCTAGCTCAGCTTTTTTCTGAGTCTCGGTCAAATCTTCCCAAAAAGTCGATATGTAGTCGAGTCGAAGCGATGGCGAGTCCGAGACTATGTTCAACTCGTAACTATCGAATTCGGTAAAAGTCGGATCCAATTGTTTTAAACCAGTGAAACGAGGTGATGGTGTTATGGCAATAGTTGTTGTTGATGTTGTTGTTACTGCTGATGTTGTTATTGTTGATGTTGTTGTTTTCCCAATTTTACAAATATTCAGTTTTTTTGGTTTCTGCCGTTTTCGATTTTTTCTTTCCATCCGAAATGGAGGCGGGGAGGCAAATATTATTATACTGGGAGAATCAATAAGGGCTGTGGTTTCTGGGAAATTATTTTTCTTTGTTTTATTATTATTATTATTATTATTATTATTATTATTAGCAGTAGTAGTAGTAGTATTGTTAGTGTTTCCAAAGCCATCAGCGTCATCTTCAACGTCAGCGTATTCATAGGGATCGATCATTTTTCTCTTTTTCGGGTTTGACCTTTGAACCTTACAATTAGCGCCCTTATTATTATTATTATTATTATTATTATTATTATTATTATTATTATTATTATTGTCGTCGTTGTTGTTTTTAATCCTTTCATCATTCGACATGTCTTTCTGAATAGAACAATAGCTGCTACTGTAACTTCTATTAGCTCTGATTTTTTGAGAAACAGTAGATCCCCAACGAATGCCACGGACTCTGTCAGTCCAACATTTGAATCGGGGGGAGGTTCAGCAATCCCAGAAACTCAATTCCCACAATAATTTCATGTGCGAACTTTTTAAAATTTCGCGACAGTTACCTTTCTCTGGTACCCTCTGGAGAATGAATGGTATTTTAAAATTTTACGGTCACCCGTCCAAATGGCTGACCGCGATCAACTATAAACAAGTTAAGCAATGATGGTCAACATTGATAATAAAAGGCCTTACTAATTCAAAATTCGCAAAAATTATAATAATAATAACAATAATAGTAATAACAATAACCGTAATTTTTTTTAATTTGTTAAAATATTAATCCTTGACATTAATATATAATTTTTACGGTTTAGTTTTGTTTTCGTCTTGGTAAAATTTGGCGGGAAAATCGCCAAAGAACTAGAAGTTTAAAGCACTTCAATAAGCAAAAATGAAGTGAATATGTCTATGCTGGCAAATAAGGTTGAGCGAAGGCGTATACATTGGGTTATTTATCTATTCATATGTTACATTTTTATTCGTTCATTATTTGGTTGGTTGATTGATTCAATCGTTCATTGATTGGTTGATTGATTGATTGATTGATTCATTTATTCATTCATTCATTCATTCATTCATTCATTACACTTTATCTCTGATAGCAGCTGGGAATCCTAACACATGCTCCTATTGTTATCATTAAGTTATCTTATATACTTGAGAAACTCTCTCTCTCTCTCTCCATATATATATATATATATATACATATATAGAGAGAGAGAGAAAGAGAGAAAGAGAGAGAGACAGATGTATTTATATATAGCTATAATTTAGTTTAAACCCAACCAACAAATTTTTTCAGTGTATCAGTCGTTCCTGTACTTCAGAATTTTTTAGCATTTCAGTATTTGAAGTATTTTTTTTCAAATTAGGACAATATTAAGCGTTCGACAAGATGGCGCTAACGATATTGACTATAGTCTTCTGTCTGTCAGTTTGGATCGATGTTGGCGAGATGAAAATGTTTAGGTTTCAAGAGGCACCTTTGCCAGATGATCCGTGTACTATTGTTCATGTTAGGTATGTTTGCATGTGTGTGTGTGTTTGTGTGTGCTTGTGTATGTGTGAGTGTGTGTATGTTTGTGTGTGTGCTTGTGTTCGTTTGTGTGTGTGTGTGTGTGATCTTCAATAAGAAAAATGTACCTACAACATCTAGCAAAAAAAAACAGCAACATGAACAACAACAATAACAACGACAAACCACCACCACCAACAACATAGACATTTAAAACAACAAACAATAACTAAGAATAAACAAACATAAACAACAAAACCAAAGAAAAACAAACCCACCAACAACAAAACAGCACCCCAGAATCAATGAACTTCGTCGAAATGCTCTCCCCAAGATCCGAAAAATGTTTCGATCGCTCTGGCGTTCTTTGGTACGCTACGTACGGTCGTATTAGACTACGTGTCCGGATAAATCCGGACGAATCCGGCGAAGAATTTGTGATGTGCTTGACAGGGGGGTCCAGTGACAGACTGTACATTTGGATGGATACTTTTAAGAATGCCTGGACGCCCATCTCGTTTCCCACGAGTTATAGTTAGGAGTTTTTTTTTGTTCAGAAATTTTTTATTTTTGTTGTTTTTGTTTTTAGTTTAGTTTTTAGTTATTTATAACTTTTTTATTGAATCATTTTTTTTATTTATTTATCTATCTATCTATTTGTTCATTCATTCGTTCGTTCGTTCGTTCATTCATTCATTCATAATTTCACAGCTGAAGTTGACAGGACAAACAGTTGCAAACAATCATACAAGGGCAACGTTGATTTGTCTCTGGAACCGCCATGGTCCCACCCACAATATGTTAATTACGTCACGTGGAACATTACCAGAGTTCCTATTGGCTACTTCGAGCCTAATCTCAGATGACTGGCAGCTGGGATTATTATGTCTGATTATCGAATTTTGAGCGGTTATTAATTAATCGTATATGAGTTAATTTGTTTTATTACTTTTATTATTATTTTTATTAATTATTTGTTTAATTAATTATTAATAAAACAATCAATGTTCTATACATTGCTTTTTAAAATGAAAAAGCTGAATACAATTTTATCTCTCTCTCTCTCTCTCTCTCTCTCTCTCTTTCTATCAATATGTGCATACATATTGTTACAATAATTATCATAAAGAAAACTCACTAGACAGTCTAATATAGAGGTAGACAGACAGACAAATATAATGCATTAATGAAACGATAAATTATTTAATTCGTACATACGCACACACATACACACACACATACACACACACACACACACACACACATGCATACATACACACACATATACATACATACATACATACAATTTTTAATTAATATACTACACTGCTCCATCAATTTTCTATTTATACGGTCGATAAAAATGAACGGGCACATTAAAAACTGGCGCGTGTGGAATGATGGAGAGAGAAGGAGAGAGAAAGAGAGAGAGAGAGTTAAAAAAAGAAAGAGACACAATAATAAAAAGAGAGAGAGAAAGAGTGAATGAAAGTGTAACAATTAAAAATGACAAAAAAGACTTGAAGAAGCATAAACTGATACCAAACTGATACTGAAAAAAATGAAAGAGGGAGTGGGAAAAAGATGTGAAGTTATAAAAGAGAGTGACAGAAAAAGAAAAATAGATGAAGAGAGAGAGAGAGAGAGAGAGAGAAAGAGATAGAAATTAGAGAAAAATTTTATTGAAAGAAAGTTAAAGATAAAAAGATGAAAAGAGAGAGGGAGAATTAGAAAAAATATAAAATATATTATTACATAGTATGATATATTATACTAATAACGGTGAAAGCCTCGTCTAATTTACACTTGTTCTATACTATGCAACTATTGATTGTCGTCTCTTTAATAATTCATCTCAAATTAACACCACGTATGCATGTGTGTGTGTGTTTGTGTGTGTATGTGTGTGCGTGTGGTGTGTGCGTGTGTGTGTGTGAGTGTAAAGGTAAACGTGCAATGCTTTGTTCACCGCGTGCGTATCGAGTGTGTGTGCAAACAAAACAAAAACTAACTTGTAACACGAAAAAGAGAAAAAAAATTCGAAGTTAAGATGCCAATTTTTTTCAAAACTTTTATTTAACTTAAGCCAAAGATCACCTATTTTACTCCTACCTAAACTAATAAAAAAGTTAGAAACAAAGAAATGATTGGAGAAAGAAACATAACCGCTAATAAATGCTCGTTTGTATTACACGTATGTATGTACGTATGTATTTGTATGTTGATTGTACGTTTGTGTATGTTAAACATACATGTGCGTATGTACAGATTCTAATGTAACCTATGTTTGAGAGTATTTGCGCTAAAAATGCATCTAAGAAAAAGATAAAGAATCGCATTCTTAGGAATACAAACAAGCGAAGAAGAAGTAGAAGCACTAGTTTGAACGGCATTTAGTGAGAAGCCCCCTCGCCGCGTCAAGGCAGCCGTTCATGAGGGGGTTGATAATAAAACGACAGTGCCTAGAAATAATAAGTAACGAATTCTAGAAATAATAGATAACTTAACTAAACTTAACTAAAAAATAATGTGTTGATTGTTGTGTTTGATTGCTGTTGTTGGTGTTGTGTTGAACAAACAGCAAACAATACAATACAATACAAAGAAACTAGAAAATAAGAAAGAAAGAATAGAGTCCCTAACTTACCTATGTTCACTAAATTAACTCACCCACCTATGTTCAATAAGCTCAACTTACGAATTAATCCTACCTATTTGTACAATTACGAAGAAAAAACAAAGAGAAGAGGATAAAACATCAAGCAAACAAAACAACGAATGTGTGTGTGTATGTATGTATGTATGTGTGTATGTATGATTGTTTGTGTGTATATGTATGCATGCATGTAAAAACTCTAAAAACAAACGAATAAGTCTAGAAATAATAAGCAACTTAACTAAAATAAGATAAAACAAAACTTAATCAAAATGTAACGAAATGAATATTGTGTTGATTGTTGTGTTTGATTGCTGTTGTTGGTGTTGTGTTGAACAAACAACAAACAATACATATTACAATACAATACAACTAAACTAGAATGTAAGAAAGAAAGAAAGGAGCTCCTAACTTACCTATGTTCACTAAATTAACTCACCTACCTATATTCAATAAGCTCAACTTACGAGTTAATCCTACCTATTTGTACGGTTACGAAGAAAAAAGTAAAGAGAAGAGATTAAAACATCAAGCAAACAAAACAACGAATGTATGTGTGTATGTATGTGTGTGTATGTGTGTATGTATGTGTGTTTGTGTGTGTGTAAAACCGCGCAATAATAATAACAATATAAACGAATAAATCTAGAAATAATAAGTAACGAACAAAATAAACGAACAAATCTAGAAATAATAAGTAACGAATAAAATAAACGAACAAATCTAGAAATAATAAATAAAAAAGATAAAATAAAAAAATGGACCAGACGCTAAGGCCCTAAAGCGCCCGGTCGGATTTCAACGCATTTTCGGCTCCTTTTTATACCAGTTCCATTCATATATTCTTATCATTTCATTCATTGACATCATTAAAAAACTTTATTTAATGTATAGGAAACATTATTATAGGTGCTTAACAACAGTATATTAACTATACTAAAATGAATATACTATACTAAATTCAACGACCGCCTACTGACTTCCTGATGGGAAGGTTCGGAAATGTGTATACGTTTAGCTAGTTGAATGAATTCAAATTTAATCGAGATCACTCCTTTTCCACTTGACAATTGAAAAATAAAAATATGTCTTTTTTATATTTCATTTCTTTAATATAATTAAATTTATATTTTTATAAATTATACTTACAATCAATTCAATCATTCACATCTGGAAAAAGTTTATTGATTTAATGATATTGATTTTTGATTTTATGTAATACACTAATATACATTCTTGACAACAGAGCTACTCAAACTTCGAAGCATTCTGATTGATTGGCTGCTAAATTTCTTTTCATCTAAACATATAATCTTAGTAATTATTTTTATACATGGATTCTAAATACTTCATATATATATTTATTATATAACTTCCTTATAAAACCAACAGAAATCAATGTTACAAGTGTATGTACGCGCGCGGTTCAAATGAAATTATTCCGAGAGAATTCAAAATAATTTGACACCACACACCTTACTTCACTTTAATTGTATAATTTAAATGCATAAATGAAAACGTATTTAATAACTACACATATCTATTTATCACTTTATTTATTTAGCTTTCTGTGCATATATCATTTGGTAGAATTTATTTTATAAGTGTCGAATGTAATAATTATACCGGCTAATTCACTATGGTACATTTCAACATTTTTTACTAGTAGAATGACGTCATTTCCGCTAACGATTTCTCAACAAAGTGTCAATCCTTTTTTAATAATTCTTTTGTCATTGTTTAGAAGAATTATCATTTTATTAAACTTCAAAAAAAATTGTTTATCTTGATAATTTAAATGAAATGTGAGAACAATTTTTAACTGCATGATAGAGCCATTGAAATCGTTCTATTGTTAGAGTTAATCAGCATATTCGATACTTATCAAAATTTTTCAAATATTATGTGCAAATTTAATATTCAAACAAATGAATGAATAAATCAACAAACAAACAAACGAACGAACAAGCAAACAAACAAACAAATAATGTGCCAAAATAGCCACCAAAAAAATTAACAAATACACATAAACACACGCACACACAAACGAAATTTTTTTTAAATAGTTAAGTAAGAAAGGAGCGGTTTCAAGTACACCAGCAACACCAGCTTGCACACACACACACACACACACACCAAACACACACACACATACACCAACGAACGAACGAACGAACGAACCAACCAACCAACCAACCAACCAAACAACCAACCAATCAATCAACCAACCAACCAACCAACCAACCAACCAACCAACCAACCAGCCAGCCAGCCAGCCAGCCAACCAAACAAACAAACAAACAAACAAACATTCAAACAAACATACATACATACGAATGAATGAATTAACGAACGAATGAATGAATATATATTGACATATACACAAACATTTACATGTATACATACGTATATAAGTTTCAAAACTGTTCAAGTAAGTTTAAAGCGGTGGCAAGTAAATTTGAAATTCATAACTACAATCATGTACAGTACACACGAATACAAGTATTTAAAACAATTTTTTAAATAATAAATTTATTTAATAATTAAATAAAAAATATTACTAATTGCGTGTGTACGTTTTCCGGTATTCAAATCAAACCAGCCAGTCAGAAAGCTAGGACGACGCTTCTAACTTTCATTCTTGTTTTATTCTAGTTAGTATATTGTCGTTAAGCATGTATGATAGTGTTTTGTATGCATCAAATAATCTTTCATTAATACGAATGATTGAAATGTTGAGAATGTATGGATGAGAATGGTATAAATAGGAGCCAAAAAAACGCAGAAGTCAGATCAGATGTCCCGCGGCACATGGTCGGGGGCGTCTGGTCTCATTTTTTTACATTTATCATATAGATTTCTATTTTATTAATTGATTAATTAATTAATTTATTTATTTAATTAACTATTTATTTATTCAGACGTCCCTCGGCACATGGTCGGGGGCGTCTGATCTCATTTTCTTACGTTCATTATATAGGGTTTTATTTATTGCGCGGTTATGTGGGGTTTTACTTTGAGTTTCGTTATATCTTATTTTAGTTATTTTTTTTTATTTCTAAACGTATTCGTTATTTTTATTAGTACTTTTTATTTCTAGATTTATTCCTTTATTTTACGGATATTGCGAACGTACGTACATACATACGTACATACATACATACACACACATACATACATATACATACATACATTGTTTTGTTTGCTACG